CCAGCATGTGATGTAGGAAACTCAGGGGACACTTGAGCCAAAAGAAGCCCAAAGCACGGTGCATTGGTTCGGGTTTAGGGTTTAGGGTTTAGGGTTTAGGGTTCAGGGTTCAGGGTTCAGGGTTTAGTCTTTAGGGTTTAGGGTTTAGGGTTTAGGGTTTAGGGTTTAGGGTTTAGGGTTTAGGGTTAAGCGACAGACATCCGAGGCGCCGGGAGACGGAGTGAGGTTGCGCGGTGTCAGGGAGGCACTGAAAAGTGTGCTGGTTCCTGCGGCTGCCATACCACAGCAACAGGGTTTAGGGTTTAGGGTTTAGGGTTTTGCTGTGACGGTTCGTTCCTCTGAAGGACCAGCGCCGACAAGTAGGTCTCTTGGTTCCGATGTTGCAGTATTCCCAGGGCCCTATTTGTAGCCCAACGTTGGGGCCTCACAATGGTGAGCCACCCTGTGCAATCACTGGCTGGCCAAGCTGAGCGCGCGGCAAAGCGGCAAGCCACGGCAAAGTCCGGAAGCTTTCCGAATTCAGTGTTCCAGGCTTTTGAAGGAGCGGTTTGGGTTTGAGGGGTTTAGGGAGTAGGTCGCAAGTTTCAGGGCCTTGGGTTTGTTTCAAGGTTTACTTGCATCCACCTATCTATCTGCCATATGTATCTCTTGATTCCAGGATGTCAGAGGTTAGGGTTTCTGATTCCTAAGGGTTTAGGGTTCAGGGGTCTTTTAGGGTACTCCAGCGGTTGGCGCCGTGCTCCTGAAGAGGATCACGGAAACCGCCTGCCCTCTTTGCGGCTTTGGCGCTGCTCGGGTGTAGGACTCCGGGTAAGAGAGTTTCCAGGCTTGCAGGAGGGGTTGTCGACCCTACGCCCTCAACTCCTCAACCCTAAACCCCTAAACCCTAGCCCTGAACCCCCTAAGCCCTAAACCCTAAATCCCGAATCCCTTAGGCTCCCGAGCCCTCCAGACCTGAGGGCCCCTAAACCCCTCTACGCCCTGAAGCTCTAAGGTAGGAACCATGGGGCCGTAAGCATGGTCCCTTACCCGTGTTTATAGGGATCCGAAATTTGGGGCCCTTTTTAGGGTTTAGGGTTTAGGGTGTATACAAGGGTTGTACGACATGTAGGGGAGTTTTAGGGGGGCTTGGGGAGTTGAGGGGTGTTGCTCATAATTGTAAGTAAGGGGACGTGCACTACAGCCCCAATTGCGGAACTTGCAACCCTAGTTAGAAAACCCACTCGAGTCCACGAAACAAGCGAGGAGAAAACACTTATGTGATTTTTTGGGTTTTTGTTCGCTACATTTATGATTTACTAACTTGGGCAATCCATATTCAATGGTACCTTTTCCTTAATTTTGTAATCTGTTTTCTAATCCTTTTTCTTTGACACTTCTTTCTCTTGTATCTGAATTGTAAGCACAAGACGGTTTTTCGCACGTCGCGAGAACGAAGTGAATAAAGTGAACGAGAGAACGCCAGACAACTCTTATTTAAGCTAGGTAGATTTTCATGCTTTTGTCTTCTTATTCTTCACACGCCCATATTATTTTAATGTTGGACGTGCGCGAAGATTAGGCGCAAGATGCTTCGAGCCTTAGCCTAGTTTTTGGGGGAACAGGGTTTCCTTCTAAACCCTAAAACCCAAAGGCCTACAACCCTAAACCCTGAAACCGAAACCCGAAACCCTAAGCCCTAAACCCTAAACATGAAACCTTGGCGCCATTCCACCTGCCCCGAGCGGTGCCCCCAACAGCAGCACCCCGACCGTGTGAAACACGGCGCACCACGACGCTTCTGGACGCTTGCAGCTGGCAGAAGCCCCCCAAAAAGGGTTTCGGGTTTGGCCTACTGTCGGTTAGTAGGGAATGGGAATGAGGTACCCTATATAATCCTGGAAGGGCATATAGAACTAGGGCCCAAGCTTTCGGCAGGTCTTGGCTTTAGGGTTTAGGCTTTGGGGGCTTTAAGGTTTGCCAGACAATTTGAGGCTGTGGCTGCTGAAGCTCGACACCTAGGCGTTAGGCTTCAGGCTTGAGGGTTTAAGGTGTGGAGCGCTTCGGGTTTAGGGTTTAAGGTTTAGGGTTTAGGGTTTAGGGTAGCTGTGACCCACACCAAGACTTGCGGAGACCCGGTGACTCGTGGGAATCTGTCATGGCACTTGCTCCGGTCTGCTGAATTCCGTCGCAGTTTTTGTGTCTCAAAGAGGCACAGGCGTAGTGCTTCGAGGTAGTGCTCAGCAGAATGGAGCTTTCAGGATGCAAGGGTTTTGGGTGTTTAGGGTTTAGGGTTTAGGGTTTAGGGTTTAGGGTTTAGGGTTTAGGGTTTAGGGTGCGCACCCAGCAAGATCCCGCCACCAGAGAATGTCGTCGGATCCTGGCGAGCAGTCAGGTGCAGACCCGGGCACTTTTACTGTAGAGCCAGCCCTTTACATTAGCCTTCGGCCACGTAATATAGGGGCTCTGAATAAGTAGAATAGGGTTTAGGGTTTAGGGTTAGGGTTTAGGGTTTAGGGTTTAGGGTTTAGGGTTTAGGGTTTAGGGTTTAGGGTTTAAGGGTTCGGGTTTTGGGGATTGTTACAGTATAACTATAAAGGGATCATGAGGGAATACTATTAGTAATCATTCCGACCCCTGTAGTAGCTGTACAACCCGATAATGTATGGAACAGTCCTGTGTGTAGAGGGCTTTCCCAGAATAGGGGTACCCTTTTTTAGGGGTTGCTCTAAGAAGGGCTATACATATTTTTTTGGGCATATAAGGGGGTGCCGTTTTGTGGGAAATGCTCATGTGTATATATGTCGATGTAGGTCATCTCGGTGGTTGATCCCATCTAGGCTTTGCAGGGGGGCTCAAGTACCGCGGGACCCAACCGCCGACTGACTGGGGAGGCAGCACATGCGGCGAGGAGAGCTTCACCCCGCCCCCCCACCGCGACCGCACCCCGGTGCCAGCAGTGTTGAGTTTCTTTGCTTCAGGGCTTTTTGAAGATTTCGGGGCTTCGTTTGTTGAGACCCCGCGGGCTCTTTTTGGAGGGCTTGGGCCCTTTGAGGTGCAGGAGTGTAGACTGGGAGTTGCGGCCATTTGAGCGCAGACACCCGCAAAGCCCCAAGCTTCAGAGCCTTCAGGCCCTTCAAGTCCCCGACCCTCAAAGCTCTCCAAAACCCTTATTACGGCCCTCAAAGCCCGAAGCCCTGAAAAGCCCCAAACGCCCCTTAACATTGAATGAAATGGTTTTCAAAAATAGCCCTTAACATTGAATGAAATGGTTTTCAAGAATAGCCCTTAACATTGAATGAAATGGTTTTCAAAAATAGCCCGCAACAGCCCGCAAAACCCCCCTCACACACCCTGAAAGGCCTCAAAAAGCCCTGAACCCCCCTAAATCCTAAACCCTAAACCCTAAACCCTAAACCTTAAACCCTAAACCCTAAACCCTAAATTTAAGAGCCTCCGGCTCAAGCCGCCGACCCCGCAGGAGAACAAGTTTAAGGTTTGGGGTTTGGTGGATTGGGTTTGCGGTTCTTGTCTGGGTGGGGGGGTGGGGGGGGGGGGGGGGGTGGGGGGGGGGCCAGCCTCGCAAAAGCCGCCTGAGCGTTCCTTCGCAATTGTGGGAGGTGGTAGGGGGGGGGGAAAAAGCTGCCCCCCCCTTTCCCCCCCCCCCCCCCCCTCACCCCTCGCGTTTTGGGGGTAAGGAGGGAAAGAGGGGTTTTCACCTCCAGAAAACCCATCGGCGGACCTAAACCCTATTCCCTTATCCCCAAACCCCAAACCCCTAATCCCAAACCCTAAACCCCTAAACCCCTAAACCCCTAAACCCCTAAACCCCTAACCCCCTAAACCCCTAAACCCCTAAACCCCTAAACCCCTAAACCCCTAAACCCCTAAACCCCTAAACCCCTAAACCCCTAAACCCCTAAACCCGTAAACCCTAAACCCTAAACCCTTAAAACCAAAAGGCATCTTCGCCCTGATCGTGATCGGCACCTTTTGTGGGCAGTTGGGGCTCTCCATCATCGCGCCTTCGGGATACGTGGAAACATTTTCTAAATTTTTGGGCACCCTAGTTCCTACGAGACAGCTAAAATTCATTGTTAATATTGAGTACTCTAATTTCCATAAGAAACAGCTAGGCGCCCTTCTTCCCGGCCGAAGCGGCGGAGAAGGGCGTGCAGGCCGGGGGGCCCAAAAGAGGGTTTAGGGTTTTAGGGGGGTTTAGGGTTTAGGGTTTTGGGGGGTTTAGGGTTTTTCAGGGTGAGTTTTTTTTTTTTTTTTTTCTTTTTCAGGTTTAGGGTTTGGAGTTGGTGGTTTGGGGGTTTTGAGGCTTTAGGTTTTGGGGTTTGGGATTTGAGGTTGGAGGGTTGAAGGCTCAATGATCCAGGGTTTCAGGGTTTAAGGGTTGCGGGGTAGACGGTTTTGGGGATGATTCTACAAGGGGGGGAAGGGGGGTGGAGGGGTAGAAATTGGGAGTTTTCAGAAGTAGAGTTCCCCTTGCATAGCGAGCAATATGGTAGAATCCGTTGAGCGGCAGGCTTGCTAGGCTTCTGCCAGCATAGGCTACACAGCAGAGCTCCATGTGCAGTGCTGCTTGATCAAGAGAGGAGAAGGCAGTGCTGAAAGCAGGTTGAGGGTGAAAGTGGAGTGAGGCCAGGGGGGTTCGGGTTTAGGGTTTAGGGTTTAGGGTTTAGGGTTTAGGGTTTAGGGTTTAGGGTTTAGGGTTTAGGGTTTAGGGTTTAGGGTTTAGGGTTTAGGGTTTAGGGTTTAGGGTTTAGGGTTTAGGGTTTAGGGTGCAAGGGTGCAAGGGTGCAAGGGGGTTCGAGTATGTCACCTGCCGCTCCAGCGATCGTGGGGAGTGTTCTGCCAGACTTTGGATGCGAGTCGCCACCCACAGCTTGTACACTGAGCCGAATGTCTCTTCTGCGTGTAGGCATCCTCATAATAAAATATAGAACATAGATAGTATGTATTTTATGTACAGAAAAGCCACGCGTAGTTGATAGCCATCCGTTTTTTGCGGAATGCGGCGCCCGGAGAATATGGCAAGATTTGTCCTTGGGAGGGTCGGTGTCAAACGAAACCGCAGATCGTGCGCCAGCCGCGCAGCTAAAGATCTCTGGAAGCATCAGCAGATCTTCGCCGCACCCGGAAGTTATCTGAGCGCATCGGTATCTTTGTCGACTTCTACACGCTGATACCACTCGTCCCCGAGTTTAGGGTTTAGGGCTTGCATCGTGACGTACCAGAAGGTGCCAGAGCCGGGACAACTCTGAGTTCTGAATGGGTCTGGGAAAAGTGAATCAGAGTTGCAGTCGTCCCGAGCGGTGCGGACAAGCACTTTGGCGACAAACCCGGCACAATGTACCCCGCAAGGTTCACCACCCTAAACCCTAAACCCTAAACCCTAAACCCTAAACCCTAAACCCTAAACCCTAAACCCTAAACCCTAAACCCTAAACCCTAAACCCTAAACCCTAAACCCTAAACCCTAAACCCTATAAACCCTAAACCCTAAACCCTAAACCCTAAGTCTCTAAGTCTCTAAGTCTCCACGTCCCTCCGAGGGCACCGCCTTGGGGTGGATCTTCTCCATCTTCGAGCTGGCCACTCTGGTCGGCACGCCCATCACGCCCCGCTGCTACAAGCTTGGACAAAGGCCTCGAAGGCCCCTGTACCCCTAAGAGGCTCCCTTCGTATCCCCCGAACATGGCCCTTATGTTCCCTTAGAGAAAGGTAAACAAGGGTCCCAAATCCAAGCGTGCGACCTTAGGGGTTTCAAGGTAGAGTCCGATGAGAAGGCATGGGTTCCACCAAGGACGCGGCTGCTGGTGAGATCGGGGAGCAAGCCGATTCTGGTCGCTGGCAACTTCCTAGGGGGTCTGGCGAACATCCTCAACGGCCTATGCTGGTATGTGGGTGCCTGGCCGGACTCAGCATTGCCTTCGGGAAGAAGAGGGGATGTGAGACCCCAAAAATCTTTTCTACTAAGCCCTACTACCCCAAAGCCTTGCAGCCCTAAGCTCCACACCCCTGCAAGCCCTCAATCCTTAGCCTCCACCTGAACCCTCAGCCCTAAAACCGAATTCCTGGAGCCCCCGAAGCCATGAGATAGTAGCATCGAGGGCTTCTTTGAAGGTTTTTTGTGGTTGAGCCGTACGCACTTTAATTCACCACATGACTTAAAATACGCTGTCCAAGCATGGCTTGGGCCGTGGACAAGGGCACATGTGGCCAGCTAGACGGTCGGAGTTTAGGACCCCGAGCCCTACGCCGGCAACCCTAAACCCTAAACCCTAAACCCTAAGCCCTAAACCCTAAACCCTAAACCCTAAACCCTAAACCCCTAAACCCTAAACCCTAAACCCCTAAACCCCTAAACCCCTAAACCCCTAACCCCTCAACCCCTCAACCCGTAAACCCCTCAACCCCAAAGAGGTGATGGGGCTCCCTTCATCGTGTCCTGCTTGCTGCTGCGCGTGGTAGCCGGCTTCGCCTTTTCCTTCGAGTCGACGGCAGGTGTCGGGTCATGGAGTTCGGGGATTGCAGGGCTTGGGGTTTGTGGGGTTTTTAAAGGGATCGGGTTTAGGGGTGTTTAGGGGAAGTGTGGGAAAGTATAATGAGTGGCAAGCACGACAGGAACCAACCATTATTCGCTTCCAAATTTGGCCTGAGCTTCTTGGTATGCCGGGCCACAGGCGCCACGAAGCAAGAAGTGTACCCATGGCATTCCCTACTAGGAAAGCAAGACAAGCCTGAAATGCCTCCCCCACCCCTTGAAACTTCTACCCTACCCGTGAACCCTGCACCCTCAACTCTGAACCCCTAAGCCTTAAGCCCTAAGCCCTAAACCCTACACCCTAAACCCTAAACCCTAAACCCTAAACCCTACACCCTAAACCCCAGTGAGGTTACAGCCTCCTGTCCGCTCTCTTCGGTCAGAATGTTTCCACAGCGACTGGCATCCTTGAAGGCACGGGCAGTGCGGGGTTTTGGGAGCTGTTTCTGGCTTCGGGGTTGAGGGAAGGTTTGGTTTAGGGTTTGGGGTTTAGGTTTAAGGGTTTTGGGTTTAGGTTTAGGGTTTAAGGCTTGAGGCTAGAAGCTTAGGGTTGAGGGTTTAGAGATTTAGCGGGGCGAAGCTTCCGTCCAGCGCAGAAAATGGGGAGGGCTGGGCAGGGTTTCCTGTTTTGATGACCCGAAAACCGAAACTCTGAAAGTCTAACAAGAACCCCTAAAACCACACCCCCTCCGAACCCAAACGGGTTTCCTGTACTGGGCCCAAGAGGATCCTATATTAGGAAGGATTCGGGGAGTCGGTGTAGGGTCATAATAAAGGAAACTACTACATAACAGTCACATTACAAATATACATAACAATATCAATACCAATACCAATACCAATGCCAGTATCAATATCAATATCAATATCAATATCAATATCACTATCAATATCAATATCAATATCATCAAAATCATCGATATCAATATCACCAATATCAATATCATCAATATCACTATCATCAATATCAATGTCAATATCACAATGTCAATATCAGCATCAATACCAACATCAATACACAAATATATCAATATATCAATATATCAATATATCAATATATCAATATATCAATATATCAATGTATCAATATATCAATGTATCAATACATCAATACATCAATACATCAATACATCAAGACATCAATACATCAATACATCAATACATCAATACATCAATACATCAATATATATATATATATACGAACAATCATATATGGCATAGAACATATAGTAATATCATATTTCTATTCTATGTGTGCGATATAATGCTCCTAGAAAGGTGTCAACGGCCTGGCCATGATCCTCGGCCCCATCGTGGGCTCCTCTTTGCCGCCCAGCTGTTTGATGCCCTGTTTTTTTTTTGGGGGGGGGGGGGGGGGGGGGGGGGGGGTTGGGGGGTGGGTTTAGGGTTTAGGGTTTAGGGTTTAGGGTTTGGGGTTTAGGGTTTAGGGTTTAGGGTTTAGGGTTTTATGCTGGAGTTTAGGGTTTAGGGCGGGTTCAAGGCTATTGCTTAGAGAGCTGCCCCCGTCCCCACAAACCCAACCCCCCCCCACCCCACCCCGCCAAACCCCCCGCGTAGAGAGATCCGAGTCGACTGTCACGAACCAGTCTGGAGCGACAGTGCCGTCTGGAGATTGCGGGTTTCCTAAACCCTCAACCCTAAACCCAAACCCTCAACCCTAAACCCTGAACCCTCAACCCTAAACCCTGAACCCTGCAGGTACAGCATGGCCGGAGGCGACTCCCACATGGGCACCTTGCAATGAAGAGAGTTGGCAAGGCCTCGGGGGAGGTTTCTTAGGTTGGGTTTTGAGAGGAGTTTCGTGTGGCGGCCTTTGGAGCATGGGCTGGGAACCCTCAACCCTAAACCCTAAATCTTTAAACCCTAATCCCTAAACCCTAAGCCCTGAACCCTGAACCCTGAACCCTGTAAACCTTGAGCCCCAAACCCGAAACCCTAAACCCTCAACCCTAAACCCTGAACCCTAAACCCCAAACCCTAAACGACCAGATGGCCAGATCCAAGGCTACGTGTTGCCCTTTGTGGTGCTGGGGCTGGTGGAGCTCCTTTTCTCACTCCTGACGGTGCCCCCGCTCGCTCTTGGGTTCAGGGTTTATAGGGTTTATAGGGTTTATAGGGTTTATAGGGTTTATAGGGTTTATAGGGTTTATAGGGTTTATAGGGTTTATAGGGTTTATAGGGTTTATAGGGTTTATAGGGTTTAGAGGGTTTATAGGGTTTATAGGGTTTATAGGGTTTTTTGGGTTTATAGGGTTTAGGGTTTTTTCGGTTTAGGGGTTTAGGGTGTAGGATTTACCAGGCTCTTGGTGCGCCGTCGTGAGCTCATGATGGCAGCCCCACGAAGCTCAAAAGCAACGGTAGGGTCAATCCGCGCCCTCAACCCTAAACCCTAAACCCTAAACCCTAAACCCTAAACCCTAAGCCCTAAACCCTAAACCCTAAGCCCTAAACCCTAAACCCTAAACCCTAAACCCTAAACCCTAAGCCCTAAACCCTGAACCCTAAACCCCTAAACCCTCAGCCCCTAGGCCCCTCCGGGCTCCTAAGCCCCAGATCCAGCTGAGGCATTTCTTTTGCCAAAGCTGCCGAGCCCGCCGCAGAACCAGCCAAGCCTGCCCTTCGGGCTGAAGAACTGGGAGCCCCGAACAAGTTGCGGGGGCTTGGGATTTCGGGGCCTTTATGAGGGCTTTGGGGAGTTTTAGTTAGAGAGCTTGAGGGACTTTTGGGTTTTCATTTTTTCACTTTTTCTGTTAAAACCCTGCAGAAGCACACCGCAGATCTACGACAGCAAGCTTCAAAAACAGCGCTGAAGCCCGAAATCTCAGGGTTCAAACCTCTCCCCATTCCCCCCCTAGGGTTTAGGGCTTAGGGGTTTGGGGATTTTTTCGGTTTAGGGCTCAGGATGTTTTTTTGGGTCGAGGGCTGAGGTGTTTAGGGGTTTAGGGTTTAGGTTAGGGTTTCGGGTTTAGGGCTTTTTAGGGTTTGGGTTTTTTTGGGGTTTAGGGTTTTTTAGGGTTCAGGGTTGAGGGTTTTTTTAACAAACAAGGGTGAGGGTTAGGGTTCAATGTATAATAATGCATACACATGTATATACAAATATGTATACATGTACATGTATATATATATATATATATATGAGATGGAGCCCTTGTTAAAGCAGAGAAGCAGAACCCTAACTTAGAGCACATCTCCATGTGCCCGTGCGCGCGGTCTCGTGTCAGGTTCAACTTCTCTCCGAAAGTGCTGCTGGCGTGCGTCAACTGCATCATTTCAGGACGCTGGGCCCGGTTTCCCTCACCCTAAGCCCGAAGCCCTAAGTTGAAACAAAACCACAACCCTAAACCCTAAACAGTAAACCCTACACCCTAAGCCCTAAACCCTAAACCCTACGCACTAAGCCCTAAGCCCTAAGCCCTAAGCCCTCTGCCTATGGGGTTGACGGGATTTTTGGGCTCCAACGGCTTCATCTGCTTCTCGAGGGTTGGAGGGGGCCATGGGTCTGAAGGTTTAAGGCATGCCCGGTTTAGGGTTTAGGGTTTAGGGTTTAGGGTTTAGGGGCCCTTCCCTCCCGCAGCTGATTTGGTGGGATGACGGCTACAACCCTCTTAGGAACTATTTTTCAAATTTTTAATTGAACTAAACCCTACTTCAAATGTTTTCAAGTTTTTTATATTAAATCAAACCTTAGGGCATATGTAAAACACATGTTATTCCCCACCCGTGGCGTTGCTAGAATTTAAGCTCCGCTCTTCTCCTCGCCCGGTCTACTCCTCGCTCATCCCTGGAGTGCCCAACCGTCCATGGAGTGCCCAATTCCAGAGTGTCCCTGCGGAGTGCCCAGCCCCAACCCCAGAGTGTGGCTGGAGTGCCCAACCCCAGAGTGTCCCTGGAGTGCCCAACCCCAGAGTATCTCTCCCCAGAGAGGGTGGGGATGTTCGAAGCAAAACAGTTTTTAGGAAGGTTCTAGGGGGGATGTAGAGGGTTTCAGGCGTTTAGGGTTTTGGGCCCTAGGGCTCGCTACTTGAAGGTCCACGGGTAGCAACCCTGCTTTGAGCACCTCCTCTTCCCCGATAGAATCCCTTTGAGGGAATTCCCTACTAAGAACGGGTACGTCAAGCCCCTGGAGTTGCTGGACAACCTTCAGCGCCAGCCGTCCCCTAAACCGGTTTAGGGTTTAGGGTTTAGGCTCAGGGTCTGGGGTTTCGGGTTTAGGGTTAGGGGGTTTAGGGTAACCCCAAACACTCCCCTCCCCCCCCCCCCACCCCGCCCAAAACCCCCAAGCCCGAAACTGGAAGTCCTAACGAAGCCCCGTGCAAGACTCGAAGACCCCTGCGCCGAGGAATCGCGCTGGGTTTCCTGACTCCTGGGTTGCACAGCCGCTTCATGGGTCTTAGGGTTTAGGGTTTAGGGTTCAGGGTTTCGGGTTTAGGGTTGCTTGGGTTCATAGGGAAAAAACTTTCCAGTTTTCCAGGCCCGAATCCCTTTACCCCATAAGTTTGGACCCCTCCCCAAGCCCACCACCAGTCTAGGGTCTGGGGTTTAAGGCTTAGGATTTAGGGTTTAGAGGGTAGGGTTTAGAGTTTAGGGTGGGTTCTAGGGTTTGAGGGTTTGAGGGTTTAAGGTTTAGGGCTTAGGGGTATTGGGGCTTAGCAGGGGCAGGTTGAACATCTCTTCTCCAAGAGTTCCCGAAAGCCCTTATACAGAAGCCATGAACGTTTAACATTTTTTGGGCCTCCAAACCTACCCCAGTTAGGTCCTTCACTTGTAAGGCTTTCCGTGAGATACGGGGCTTGATGAGGTTAATCTTGGGACCCACAAGGCCCCTAGAGGCCCCAGATTCTCCTAGGCCCACACCCTCAACCCTAAAACCCACCCCCCGAAAGCCCTTAATCCTAAACCCCAAAAACCCCAAACCCCTGAGCCCTGAACAACCCCAACCCCAACCCCTAACCCCTAAACCCTAAACCCTAAACCCTAAACCCTAAACCCTAAACCCTAAACCCTAAACCCTAAACCCTAAACCCTAAACCCTAGACCCGAAACCCAACCCCCTAAACCCTAAACCCGAAACCCAACCCTAAACCCTAAACCTAAACCCTAAACCCTAACCCTAAACCCTAAACCCTAAAACCCTAAACCCTAAACCCTAAACCCTAAACCCTAAACCCTAAACCCCTAAACCCTAAACCCTAAACCCTAAACCCTAAACCCTAAACCCTAAACCCTAAACCCTAAACCCTAAACCCTAAACCCTAAACCCTAAACCCTAAACCCTAACCCTAAACCCTAAACCCTAAACCCTAAGCCCTAAACCCTAAACCCTACACCCTAAACCCTAAACCCTAATAAACCCTTGATCCTAAACCCCAAAACCCCAAGACCGGCCAGACGCCGAGGAACCCAACTCTGCAGCCCCATCTGTCAGCCCCTCCCTTGCACTACTCCGTGCAGATGAGCCTTCGGCGCAGAGAGACCCCAGGACCTTTTTGTATATACATATGTATACAAAATAATATAATGATAAATAAATAAATATAAATACATATACATATATATATATATATATATATGCTACCCCCCTCAGCGACCTACCCTTTTTAGGCCTTTTAACTGAAAAGAACAACGAAGGCCCAACAGTCGCGTAGTTAATCGCCGGGTAATGAAGGACAGTTATTGGGACACCCACCTCACAGACCCCGATAAGCCAGCATTGGATTAATCTACATTTTGAATCTGAAGCCGACAATGCTGTTTTTGGATGTTTAGATCTGTGGTTTTTCTATGCACATTGTGGCAAATAATGTTTTGTTGAGCAACTAATGTATTTATACAATTGTGTTTGTACGAGGCAAAGTATTCATCAAACGTGACATCCACTGCATCCAATGCTTCGCAGGGTCCCGCGCCCGCTGCTCCGCTGAACTCACCGTCACACTTTACAGCGCCTTGGTGCGTTTGGCGGGTTTATAAGGGTTCAGCGTTCAGTGTCCCGGGATCAGTCCCCACCAAAAGCAAGCCCCCACAAGCCCCAAACCCTACCCGCCGAAGGGTCCAGCACCAGCGCCCCGGCGACTTCAAGGCGCGGCCCAGCCACTGGTCCAGCTGCAGGCTGGAGTGCAAGCTTCAGGGTTCGTGGGGTAGAGGGTTTGATTGCTAGAGGTGTTTAGGGTTTACGGTTTTGGGGTTCAGGATTTAGGGTTTAGGGTGTGCCGGACAATTTCGCTGGCTTTGAGCTCTCCATTTCCATAAGGATCCACAAAGGCTTAGGGTTATCGGGCGCTTAGGGCTTAGGGTTGAGTGTTAACAGGGCTTCGGCTTCAGGGTTTGTAGGGCCCAGGGCTTGGCTTTATAGGGCTTGGGGTTCAGGCTTTCTAGGGCTTCGGGTTTAGGCATTGCCGGGCTGATAGGGCTTAGGTTTTCGGGTGTGGGGTGTACAGGCGCTAGGGTTAACAGAGGTATCTAAGGTTTACAAGGCTTAGGTCAACAGCAGAGCGGCGGCAAGGTGGATGAGGTCCAGACGTGTGTCTCAAGCTTTAGGCTTTGGGGTTTAGGGCTTAGGGCTTAAGGCTTGGGATTTGGGGTCCAAAGCAACCTCGTCTCAGGCTTTGAGGGTTTAGGGTTTCTTGCTAAGGGATGTTTAGTTTAAGGCGTTCAGGCTTCAATTTTGAGCTTTTAGGGTTTGTTCAGGTTTTGGGTTTCTATGGTTTCTAGGGCTTGCAGTTTGGTTTGAGTTGTTGGGGGGTC